ATGTTTCTGCAAATTTTTGGGCCCAGTCTGTGACTCGTCTTCTTATTCTCTTAACTGTCTTTCACAGATTAGAAGGTTTTAATTTTAATGAAGTACAACTTTCCAGTTTTTCCTTCATGGATCATGCTTTTGGTGTTGTATCTCAAAACTCACTGCTAAATCCAAGGTCACCTCGATTTTTCTCCTGTGTTATCTTCTAGAAGTTTTATGATTTTGTATTTTACATTTAGGTATACTGTTCATACAGTTAATTTTTGTGGAAAGTATAAGGTCTGCATCTAGATTGATTTTTTTTTCTTGCATGTGGATGTCCAGTTGTTTTGACACTTGTTGAAAAGACTATCTTTTCCCGCATTGTATTTATTACGTTAGCTCCTTTGGCAAAGATCAGTTGACTGTATCTATGTGGGTCTATTTCTGGGCTCTCTATTCTGTTCCACTGATCTATTTGTCTAACCTTTTGCCAGTACCACACTGTCTTGCTTACTATAGCTCTATAGTGAGCCTTAGAATCAGGTGATATCTGTTCTCTTTGGTATTGTGTTGGCTAATTTTGGCTTTTTTGCCTTTCCATATGAACTTTAGAATTAACTTGTCAGTATCCACAAATAGCTTGTTAGGATTTTGTTGCATTGAATCTATAGCATAAGCTGAAGTCAGATTCCCTATGCTCACGTTGTTTTTAACATATCAATTGTTGTGACACAAATTCAGCAGGCATTGCATCAGAACTCACTATATACAGGTATAAACTTTTTTCCTCAGCCATTTGAGAGTAAATGTTGATATGACTTCACTCTTAAGTACTTAAGTGTAAACCTCCTAAGAAAAAGGACATTTTTCTACATAATCACAGTATCATGGCTTTTAAAAAACATGCCCGTCCTCAATAAAGTGGGGTTTTTGTTTTGTTTTTACTGTCCATCCTGTCCTGTGCTGAGCATTGGGCTATGTTGGGATGTGAAGATAAACACGCGAAGTTCCTGCCATTAAGAAGCTCAGTCTCCTGGGGAGACAGACATCTAAGATGATGCTTATATTAGGCTGGGATGACGGCCACGGCAGCTTTATCTCCCTTCCTTTCGTTCAAGGAGTGTGTCAGCAGAAACGTTCTTCCTGTGGGATAAAGAACTGTTCCCAGAGTGGTGTTCCAGAGCCTGCGGTCCATTCTATGATTTGCCAGCCTGACCCTGATGGACTTTTCTTCCCAACTGCAGGGGGCTTGCATCCATCTAAACGTGAAGAATGTGACTCTCGGGATGGCCTTCACTGCACCCGATCCTTTCAGTTTCTATGCCATGAGGACTGGCCAGGCACAGAGGAATAAGAAGCTTTGAGAATCAGGCTGAGGAACTGGGGACTTGATTCTGCTGGTCAGCCATATTTAATAAGACATATGTGTGGCTGTGACTGTCAGAGACCCAAATTAACAGTGGTTTGATCAAGATAGGTGTGTATTTCTTTTTCATGTAACAGTCAGGAGCTAGCTGGCCTAGGGCTGGAATGCTGGCTCAGATCCCCGGGGTACTCAAGGGCCCTAGACTCATGTTGGCCATCACTCTATCATCCCTTCCATAATACCCAGGCTGATGCCCTCACCTGGATGACTCAGGATGACTTGCCACCACATCCCCATGCCAGGCAGCAGGATGGAAGAAGGGGCAGCATATTCCTTCCCTTTAAGACACAATTTGGAAACTACACATGTCACTCTGTCCACATCCCACTGACCAGAACTTACTCAGGTATCCTTACCTGTATGCAGGAAGGTACGGAGAAACATAGTTGTCATTTGGAAGGTCAGGTGCCAGGCTAAGAATAGGAGGTTCTATTCCTATAAGAAAGGAAGAGTGGCACTCAGGGTCAACATGCAGCCCCTGATATACTAGTATTTCTTAAAAAAAAAAAGCCTTCTATAAAATTAGGCCTTTAAGATGCTCCTTAAAAGTAGGTTTATTGGCCAAATACTTTTGGAAACATCAAGCATGGTATTGATCTCACAGAGATTCATAATGCAGAGTAACATGAAAGGCTCTGAGAAGGTCTGCAGTAAAGGAACGTGGCTGTCTTGTTGAACCTAAACAAAGATTGTTTGGCCAAAATCCGTTCTGAAAAATTTTGGGGTTTTGCAGAAGCCCTAGTCATCTCAGCTTTGGCAAACCCTGCTTTGGGAATTATTGAAGTTTCTTTAATTTGCAGGGATGCAAAGGTTTTTACAGCAGTTCCACTCCTACGGATGGAGTCAGCAGAAGTGTGTGCATATGGCGTCAGTCAATGTCAAGGTTTAATCAGGGAAGCAGAACCACTGGGGGAGAAATAAAGGGACTTATTGCAGGGCTTGGATCTTGTGCAACTCTGGGAGCTGGTTGGACAGTCTCTGAAAGGCTGTTGTCTTTGTGACTGATGGTGGAGCTTGAAGTCTCTTGAGCAGGTGGTTATGAAGAATAGAGTGCAGCTGGAAAAAAGGAGATCAAACTGGAACTCGAGGGTGGACGGGAACCCAGGTCAGTCTGCCGCTGCCTCCACTTCTCACGATGGGGTGTCCTGACCTGATGCAGCTGATGACCTTCGTTATGGAACTAAGCACACACCTGCGGTGCGGGTCAGGGAGGCTGAAAGAAGATCCAGGGGAAGGATCCGGCGTCAGCAGAGCTGGCTACCTTCCCCCAAGTGTGACAAGCCTGCGGATAAGCAGCTATGGCCACAAGCTCCCTGATGCCCCTGCACTGACCTTCCGACATAAACATAGCATGGCTACTGCTTCACTTCTCTCTTGTCTCAACTGAAAATGTGCAAGAAAGGGAATTCTGAGAAACGTGGTTCAGCCGAGCCAGGTCACATGTTAGGAAGTCACCACACATGGCAAAAAATATTGAAGAAGGCAAACACGGGGTGGGGGGGGCATATAGCTCAGGGGGAGTGCGCATGCTTAGTATGCATGAGGTCCTGGGTTCAATCCCCAGTATCTCCATTAAAAAAAAAAAATTTAAAACAACGGACACAAAAGAATACAAACTATGATTGCATTTATAGAAATTTCAAAAACAGCAGAGCTAATTTATGGTGTTAGAAGTCAGGATAATAGTTACCGTTGAGAGAAGGTTGACAACTCAGACTGGACTCAAGAGAGGCTTCTGTTGTGCTGACAGTGTTCTGCTTCTTGATGTGGGTTCTGCTTACACAGGTATGTTCACGCTGGGAAAACTCATTGTGCACTATTAGTTATGACTTGTGCTGTTTTCTGAACTTATCCTTCAGCACAAAGTTTAGGTAAATTAAAGTTTTAACAAGTCATTGAGTAGTTTTGGACAGGTTGGCTTAGAGGAAAGGAACTGAGTGAGAGCTTTTGAACCTCAGGTGGGTTCCCACTGCATGGGAAGAAACAAGGCAGCAGATCCTGGAAGAAGCAGGTTAAGTGAGTGAGAGGAGGACAGCATCTACCTAAGGGCCATTGCAGCTCCATCCCAAGCTGTCCCTTTCCTAGGTCACCATCTGTTGCCATCATGAAGGGTGAGGACCACGTACACAGCAGGCTCATTAGCAGAAGCATGCACGTGGCACGGATCATGACCCTGTAGGTTTGGGGTGGGTCCTAGCACCTTTTTAAGTTTCCTGAGTGTTCTGATGCACAACACAGGCAGAAAGCCACTGGACTATGGAGACAGTAGACCTGGATGCTAAGACCTTTAGCCCCAGGTCCACCTCTCATTCAGAGTGCAGCAGTCTTTTTCTTGTCTTTAACTCTGACGAAGGCAACATTGGTTTAATTTTTCTGTTTTAGCAAAATCTTCATTCCTTTCTTCATGCTTTTTGTTTTAGCTCATTGATTAGTTGTTTGGATTCATGATTCTTCTCTTGAAAATAAACTACTTGAAAGTGCCTTAGGCTGCTGGATACAGGATAGGCTGATCCCCTCTGATGTCTGCTCTGTTGGGAGACTGGACCGCGTACATGTAGACTGGATATGCAGTACCTCTCTGCCCCAAACAATCACCTGAAAGCATTGTTGTCTGGGATTATTGATGGTGTTTCTGATGCCTAGGAAATTAGGGTTTTAGGTGTTGATGAGAAATTCATTCTAAAGTGAAATCTCACAAATAAGTTAGCATTTTTATTTGGAAAATTTTTGAACATGCAAGAAAACAATAAAGCATATTCTATAGTGTTGTCTCAAGCCTGTGGGAAACACTGCTATTATGAAATTCTCTGATTCCCTCAGTCTGATGGATGCCTGTCATTGCTACGTTCCAAAATTTCTAAAATCCAATGTTACTGTCTGTCATAGAATTTACTGCCCAGAGCTGTGATCACTAGTCTCCTTGTTGATCTCTTTATCAGTCCCTGGACTCTAGTCTGTTTGAGGTCAGGGAATTCTAGAAGCAAAGAACTGGTGTCTGGACCTTGGAGAAGGGCCTGATTTGAGGAGAGAGAGGAAAGAGTTAAGAAAGGAAGCAGAGCTGCACTGATCACAGAAGAAGGGAAACAACCCAGATAGTCTTCTAACATGGGAATCAAGGGAAAAGAGGAGAAGTTTTTGAGGAATTATCAAATGCCACAAAGAGATCAATGAAAATGCGAATTAAAATAAATAGAGTTTGGGGTTCGTCAAAATCATTAGTGGCCGTAGAGAGGCAAGATGGAAGTAAGTTCTCACTGGATTAAGGAGAGACTGTGAGAGGAAATGGGGGGTAGAGGGTAAAAACATGCACTTACAAGTGAGGCTGTGGGGAAGAGATTTGGAGGTGGCCATGCGGAGTGGCAGACCCAAGGTCAGTGTTCACCTGAAGACAGAGATTGGAGGTGCCTTCAGTGCCCATCTCCTGGCCCTCGGGATGACTCGGGAACTCTGCCGGCACATGGGTGATGGACTGGGCGAGCTGCCTGTGCAGTCCTGGAGGTCATCAGTACATTTCCTGGGAAGCCACTGTACTCAGCCCTGCACTAAGCCCTTTTCTTTGAATGATTCTGTTTCTTTCAGTGTGTATCCTCTCTCCCCACAGGAAACATGGTAGAATGGTGCTTACCTCAAGATATTGACCTTGAAGGCGTTGAGTTCAAATCTATGGCCAGTGGGTCCCATAAAATTCAGTCTGATTTCATGTAAGTACTTCTGAATGCACGTCTTCTCTGTACTACTTCCTCCCCCTGCCCCACCCCACCCCCGCCACACTTTCCTCAGAGCACACGGGCCCTGATCAGGGCATCTTCAGGAGGTGGTGTAAATGTCCTGAAAACGTATATACAGGTTTCTGTATAATTTTATATCAGTTTTTAGGCAAGTTTCCAAGCTTTTGCTAGGTTCTCAGTGGGTTTCATGACCTGAAAATATTAAGAACTCTTGCCACAGAGGTTCTCTCCTTTTCTGAGAGATGATTGGACCTTGTTTGAGGTTTAGCTTTAATGAAAGAATAGAGTTTCAGTTCCATTTGGGCTAACTTAAGACATTTATGTGCTAAAACTGTTCCAGCTTTAAGTAAGGCCAGTTTCTAGTCCTGTGTAATTAAGAGTCTTGGGAGGAGCAAAGAGAAAGAACATAAGGATCTTGGAGTAGCTTTAATCTTCTCACTGGGCTGAGACAGTGACAGACACAAGTGTGAGAAAGGGGAAGGAAATGAAGTGACAGCTCTGGTCAAATGCTCTTTTAAATACGTCAGAGACTCAGGAAGTGAAGAAAGAATCAACATGGTTTATGCTAATAAAACAGAAGACCCTCCCCCTCCCAGTTGTCAGTTGTGCAGGAGAGAAGGCCTGGATCCATGGTCTCCAGCAATCAAGCAGCAGGCTTGGCAGAGGTGGAGTCCTGGCTCCAGCAGGATGACCTTGGCGAGGTCCTCGGTTTCTTTTCGCCTTGGTTGTCTCATCTGGACGGTTGAGTGGCTTCGGCTAACTGGTCCCCTAAGATTCTAAAAAAGGTTTCTTTCAGGCTAGCTTTCTCAGGTAGAGCCCTGGACACAGTTGTGTCTTTTGTTTGGGACTCCATCTCAAGAAAACAAAATAAAACAAACTCCTCCTCTCTCTCTGATTCTCAACCACAATCCATATTTGGTCTATTTCAGCTATTTCCGGAAAGGGCCCTTCTTCGGCCTGGCCTGCTTCGCCAACATGCCTGTGGAAAGCGAGCTGGAGCGTGGTGCGCGGATGAAGTCCGTGGGCATCCTCTCCCCCTCCTACACCTTGCTTTACCGGTACATGCACTTCCTGGAGAACCAAGTTCGGTACGTGGCGTACATACCTGGGTGGGGAGCCGGGGTCTGCCAGCTGGTGCGGACGTGGTGAGCCCTCGCGGGTAGAGGTTTTGCGCCCAAACCACAGACACCTTTCCAAGAACATCCAAGGCCATTTTCACACCTCAGGTTGTGGTTTTCATGTCTCAGCCAGCATCCTGCAATAATGATTCTTCATACTGGAGTAGAAGCTGGGGTAGATTTTGCTTTCAGTTTATATTAACATTGTCATCCATTTTGTTTAATTAATTTGTTGCCATGTAGGTGGTCTTCGCTTACTTTAGCCACAATAATGCCCTCCTTGCCCTGGGTAGGCAAATCAACTCTCAGCTTTTTAAAGCCCAGTCATTTGTTATTTTGGGCAAATTTTATCCTATACTTTAAAAAGTATAGGAGTTTTATTATTGGGAAAATAGGAAGGGAATTTTTAACAGAAGCAGCAAAACCATTATTAATTATTTTTTCATCATATGAGTAATCTAACTTTATTTCAGATTTTAAGAGAGAAATCTATCCCTGATCCCTGTAAAATTTTAGCACATTTGCCTCTTTTGGTGCTGATATGTGTACTTTTTAAAAGTATAGGATATAGAAGGTTCTGGAATCTTTCTTCCTCTCAGGATGCCACTGCTCTGCTGTCTTCTGATATTGCTTATTTCAGAGAAGTCTCTTCTGTTCAGATCCCTATAGATTCTTTATCGGTGATGTTTCTGAACTGTTTTTTCTGGGATGGTTTGTCCCTTTTGATCTATAGATATGACTTATTTTTAATTTCAGGAACCTTTCTTTCTGCATATTTCCTTCTTCAGGGACACCAGTTATGCATATATTTTCTCTCCACTGCCCTCCGTATTTTTCATTTTGATGATTATGTTAATAGCTCTATAATGCTAGAGCTGTCGCATAAGATTACTTGATTATTCCCTATGGTTGAGCATAAAGCATCTTTCTGATTTTTTTCAACTGCTTCTCTGCATTTTGGAGCTGTGATATATATTTTTCTGTATTTGAAATATTTCCTTAGTTTTGTGTCTCAGAAGTAATATTGAGTTTTTTTAAAAAAAAATCTTATTGGGATCTTGACATTTTGAGAAAATTATTACTCCTTTTGAAAAATTAATTTCCCAAGTAGGCAATACATTCTCATGGTTCAAAAGCCAAAAATTATAAGGAGGTGTTATATGTAGCCAGGTATAGAGTCCTGGCTAAATGTGTGATAACAGACGCCCCAAAATACAATGGTTCAAATAAGACAGAAGATTCTTTCCCATGTAGTGGTCTAGAAGTAGGCAGATGGCCAGAGTGGGTAGCCTGCTGTTCCTACAGTCATTCAGGGCCCACGCTTCTCTCTTCATAATCTACCATATCCTAAGAGAGATGTTTGTGTTCTCACCTGTTCAAAGCTGCTCACGGCTACTGCGTCTGCATTCCAGCCCACAGGGAGGAGGGAAAGACCTGGAAGTTGCCTACATCACATCGCGCATTCCATTGTCAAGTTCTCAATAACAAAGACTCACCTAACAGCAAAGGACACTGGGAAAGGTAGTCTCTAGTTGGGCCACCTGGTGACCAGTTAAAATTTGGGGCTCTTGTTACAAACAGGAAGAAGAGAAGAATGATTATGGGAAAAAATGAGCAGCCTCTGCTTCCCTTTGCCCCCCTGGTGACCTCGGTATCTGAGTGCACCCTTCTTCCCACACACAGAGGACAGTCCCCCCACCCCTAGAGAGACGACAGAGTCTCATCTCGTCAGTGCTGCTGGTCTAAAACCCAGGGTTTCTGTGTGATACGAGGCAGTCAGGACATGGTTCTTCTCATCCTGAAAAGTTATGAAAGAACAGTCAAGTCCTCCACTCCTCACCTCCCAAATGCTACATGGAAGGCATAATACAAACGCCTATTTGAAAAAGAAGAATGAGAAACACAAGCAGCCATTAGTCCATAACAGTAGTGAAATTCCGCCGAGCAGGGATGGCAGAGCCCGGCTTGTCCTCACAGGGCAGTGTGCTCTTGGCCACCCCTTGGTTCTGCTCACTGGAATCCCCTTGTCCGTTTTCCTCCGTGGCTCCTGGCTTTGCCGTCCAGGGGGTTCTCTAACCATTTCCTGCCACAACCACTTGAGAAGTGGGCATTGGAGAAAGATGCATAGCTTTAGAACGTGTTTCCTGCTGGTGTAGGTTTGGAGGTCTAGTGACTTGAAGTGTTGAGAAGTCACAGGCTGTTTTAGGCCAAGCATATGACAAATACGGAGTCCTCAAAAACTAACTAGGCTTTTCATCTGTTTGTTTCCAGTCAGTATCGGGTAAGAATATCCACTGCCAAAAATCTCTCCTGGATCTTATTTTTTAAATCAGTAGATGGTAGACTAGTTACTGGTCTCTGTTCTCATTTCTCTCTTTCCCTCATTTTAATGGCAACGCCTACCTTAAGGCGGAGCCCTAAGTCTGATCTTTTTAAATGGGCTGACTCCCATGTCTGGCCAAGAATATTTAAATGGAGACTTTCACAAAGGCTTTGAGAGAAATTCTTCTCTCCTGCTCTTTGGGTACAGAGAAACTGGCTTTTCCTGTCCTATGGGGTCCAAAATGTTTGGAGTCTCAATTTTTATATTGTGGAACTCAGAACACATACTCTTACGCAGTGTTTCCTTCCATTTCTGCTTGCGAACTAGCCAATTCTTTCGTATCTTATAAGTAGCTCATTCAAAACATCACTGCTGGTGGGAATG